CATTCCCCACAAAAATCCTGACTGTAACAGTCTGCTGCGTTTTTCTCCAGGTCTTTCAGAAAGAGATCAAGCAGAGAAAAGGGGTCAAAAACAAAGTCTCAGGTCACAGGCAGAGGGAAGACAATCTCTAGCTCAGGAGAGCAGGATTTTAGTCCCACCAAAACCAGCCATGCACAAAACACTGTTGGATGTGGCCCCTCCCCACCCCCAACAATCCCTTCCGATTTACTCACGGCCACTAATCTCATTAGAGCTCCTATAATTAAAGCACCATAATATCTGATCCAGTATATAATATGCTGTTTAAATTAACTCACCCAAAGTCCTTTAATGTAAGAATGACTGCTCCAAGAGAATGACAAGATTTACAAAATAAAGCATCACTCATGAGCATAGGATCAAAACTGGATTATCAAATTCCTAATTTGCATGTAGAAAAAGCAGGCAGTCAAATCGCCAAGTTTTCTACAAAATTTTGCAGCCGCTTTATAGGAAAAGTGAAACAAGTATAGATGCAGTTATATATATCTCTCTTAAAATATTTATTAGAGAACATATTGTACTTTATAGATGTTAGGAAACAGCAAATGTTACTTTGGTCTAGTCAACACTTGTTAAAAAGTGAGGAGTGAGACAGTTTTCTGAATAGCACTTGTCTGGTTTACAGGGAGATGAAAAAACACTTATAAACCTTAGCCTCTTTACCAGTCCAGGATAAGTTAAATATAAAAACCTAGTTAAACTTTTGGTCTTCTCTCTCTCTTCTTAAGTCAAAATTCTTCCCATACCTATTTGTTTATTTTTAAAGGAAGTTTATGAACAAAGCCCACCCCACCATCCCCCAGACAAAAATGGACAAAAAGCAAAACCAGGCGCAAATGCTCCCTCTGACTCAGAGGTACAAGCAGCTGGGAGAAGTTAGGAAGTGAATCACTCATTTAGCAAAGCTATGTGTGCACACGGTTTCTGGAATAACCCGGTTTTGGTGCTATGTTAAATGAAGAGGAAGATGGGAAGTGAAGGAGATGTGAATACAGTATTACATCTGTGAGATCGAGTGCCCCAGTTCTTCCTCCCCCAGCCCCAGTTTGTATCCTGCATGCACGAGAGTAGAAGCCCACAGCTCCCAGACAAAGGGGAAACGTTTCTTCCACCCTTCTGACCCCAACGTCACTTGGCACATATCTGGAGAGCCCATGGAGATGGCCTCCATGAGCACCACGGTCCTGGAAGAACACTGACATCTCAAATATTCACAGTCTTCAGCCTCATCCGTTTTACATTAATGATTAAGCGTAACAACAAAGAACAACTTTTTTCTTGACGTGGGGCTTGTTGGGACCTGACCCAGGCTCTGTGGGGCTCACACCAGGTCCTGAGGCACAAGAGCCACAACCTCTTTCATGCTAACCCATCACCCATACCTACCCCTCCCTCAATTTCTCTGGGTCCAAGAGAATAAAGTCATAGAAATTTTTTTTGTGAATGGTAGATAAACTGGTCATAGTTAGACCCTGAAAATCCCTGAGGGCTCTGCGAATATTAGGCCGGGAGAAAAAACAGCTAAATTGAGGCAGAGGCAGAGTTATGCAATTTGCCAAAAGTCAGGCTCCAGATCAGCCTGGGTGCTCCAGGCCTGCCTGCTAAGCTTCTGCTCCAGCCATTAAATCTTTGAAAGGGATTATGCAGCAAGGTGCCTGTGATAAGACAGACTGGATTTGACCTCTAAGGACCTTCAGATGCGACATTCCTAAGTCAATTACCCTCATTTTCCAGCATGCCCTGTAACACTAAAAGCCAACTCTGCAGCTGGAGTATTTTCATCTGGATAATCTTCTTTTCAACAATGCCTAAAATTTCAGTTGATTTTCTGATCTATAAAGGGCTCCAAGGCAGAAGTTTTGATGCCAATATATGTTTGCACAGAAGAGGGCAGAATGCATTAAGAGGGTTTTTACTTTGCTACTCCATTAAGCATCATTTCAGAAATCACGACAAAAACATCATCAAGAATCCAGCTTTCTTCAGTGGGAAAACACACACAGACATTAAAGGCAACATGAATTATTTTAAGCGTTACACTTCTGCCAACATACTCCACATTTTCAGCATGAAAGACCACTGCTTCTCCAGAGACTTAAGAGTCAGCCAGTGTCCTCTCAAACAAAGGGCACAGATTGCTACTTCTCTGACAAGGAAAACGGATCTAACCAATGAATATCGCTGCTTTGGGTTTCGGGTTCTTTTTTCCAGTTGCTTGTGTTTGTTTTCAATTTCAGGTACATTCCTAAATCGAAGTGACTGTATCCAAACTGAAAATCTGTTAATTTTTTCAAAGAAAAACAGCTTTTTCAACATTTACTCCTTTTGAACCCTGGTAAATTTTCTTTTTTTTCTTTGCTACATGAAGTGCTGAGTCTCCAAGATGAAAGGTAACTTTATTTGTATCCTATACTGCCTTTCCACAGATCCTTCCCAGAAACTCCTCTAATATAACTGACATGGAGAAGCCTTTTCTCTCTCCTCAGGATGAGTCACAGGGTCCTTTCCACAGCACAAAGGAAAGATACATCACTTCTCAAAGAAATATCTCTTTCTTGTTCTTTTCAAAAAAGGAAGATGGGGGGAAGAACACATTGGACTTATTTGAGGGTATTTTGTTTCCTTTTTCGCTGAATAAATTTGTCAAGCAACTAAAATTCTGCCTGGTCATAACAGCATCTATAACAACGTGGCCACCGAAGTGCTCTGTGAATCTCCTTCCTCAAGATCAGTATCCCTGCTGCAGATATCCCATCCTCCACATGTGTATCGCTATCCCATCTTCTACGCACACAAGTAAGTACCCATGTGGCTATCTGCCAAGCAGACCTTTTAATAGGTGCTGGGATACACTTCGCAGAGTGCTCAGCAATAGTAGTGGCTTCCTTGAAGAGGGCATCCCTGCATACGCATCCAGCGGCTGGCCAACGCTAACCCACTTCATGGGGCATATACCTGGTTCCCAGGCCAGCCAGCTGTTCCAGCCACCAAGCTGCCACCAGATCATCCCCTAAGAGTCCAACCTAAACCAGGCAGAAGAGTTCTTCCATATGGCTTTAGCTACCAGATCATGTAACTTCCATAGATCACTATAAGCTATTCTCTGTATCACTTTAGCTCACAGCTAATACTGAACCTATTTTGGGTTTGAGCAGAATCTTGCTCTTATGAAACTTCTCAAACCTTGTAAGATCCTACACCCCTTCTTACTCAAAGGAAACAAACAGGACAAGACAGGCACACCTAGTGGCATTTCAACTATTTTAGTCGAATTATGTCCTAAACCCATCTCTTTTTCATCACTGATTCAAAAAAAAAAAAAAGGAAAAAAAAAAGGCTTACATAAGTGAATTCAGTCTTAATGCCTACTCTGCAGACGTTTGAGTTTCATCACCTGAGGTCATTACTGATGACCTGCCTGGCCATTCCTTGAAATATTTTACTACCTGTTTTATGGGGAAAAGCTACCACAATTCATCGTGTCAACTTGTAGAGCAGGCTACAGGCCCCTGCAGAAGCTAGAGAAGACCTCACACCACTTTACAATTTCCAGCTTCAAAGCAAGACAATATTCTGGCACATGACCTCAGCAGCAAATACGAAGGTGGCACAAACATACACTGGCAATATATTCTAAAAATATGCTGAGAGTTTCCAGTCTACCACTTAACTTCAAACCAAACCATGCTGGGGTCTCTGCACAAAGTCTCGAGAAGACTTAAGTGTCCTGAGTTTCAGCATCATTGGAGACATACAGAACACAACTCTGCTAGTGACTTTACTATTAGCCAGAACAAATGCTACCAGCGCTAGCAAATGCTACGTGGGCTACTAGTGCCCAGAGAGGAGCACATGGTGCACTTCAGTCAGCACGTGCAATTTCCAAGCAGTGAAATGTTCCCTGGTCAGTGCAGCCCGACAACTATTTATAGTACATGGGGGTATCTGTAGCCATCCATCCTGTCCCTATGCAGGCAGCCCAGCAGGAGCACAGACTTCCCCAGCACAGCTCCCAGCCCCAACAGGTGTAAAAGTTCCATTCTACCACCACACCAGCACGTCTCCACTGAGCACATCCCAAAAGTTTCTGCTGAATAAAAACATAAAGGTGGTAAGCAAAGGGTTTATTTAGTTTTGTTTTTCCCACATACCCATACTTCTCCCATTGCTCTTTGGGTTTAGGGTATGCCTACGCTAGAGGCAGAAACAATGTGCAAGTGTTTTGTGATGCTAAACCAGCTACTAAAAGCCCTAGGGAAGACAGAGCTTTGCTTCTGAGCTAATTTGGGTCTGAAACGGCAGTTCTGATTGACAAAGCAGTGATGAAGATATAAGCAGCCTATGCCCGAGTAGCTGTCTACCCAGGGTGAGCAGCTACCTGCCCAAGACGGAAGAGTTGGTGTGTTTTGGGTTTGGTTTTTTTTTCCCCCAAAATAAGTTCTTGTTTACTTACTTACAGTTATAAGTGTGATTCTTCACGAATAGTCGCACAGACACACACACCCCCCCACTATTTTAATCTTGCGAAACTGGCGTAATACCAAACGCGATGTATTCTGAGCAGAGCAGGCCGAGCGGCTGCACAGTCCGTCAAGGGCACGCCGAACACCCGCACCCACAAACAAGCGGCAGCACAGGCACTTGGGAATTCAAAGAGAAAATTCTTTAAAAGATGGGAAGAGCCCGAGAAATAAGACAGTGGCCAACCCAACAGGCTGCCTAACCACGCATAAACACTTGGGGAACAAACGGTCCCCAAACCAGCAGCGCCCGCGCAGGCGGCTGCCAGACGGGTCCCGCACGGGGTGGGAAAGGCTCCTACGCCACGCCACGCCACCCCCAGAGTTCGACCCACCGCCGGGCGCACCAGCCGCGGAGCCGGGCCCGAAGCGGTGCTCGACCCGCGCCTGAACCGTCTCCCCTCTAAGCACAACTTAGCCGCGCCGGCCGGGCCGTACCTGGGAGCTGAGGTACCGCTTGAGGCACTCCTCGCAGACCGCCTTCTTGCAGCAGGACAGGGGCTTGATGGGCTTCTCCTCCAGGCACACCCGGCAGCTCAGCACTAGCAGCGGCCCGAACTCCCCCGCGATCAGCCCGGAGAAGGGCTCGGGCAGCAGGTATAAGTCCACCACCTCGATGCTGCCGCCC